AAAGAATAAAAATATTTTAATTATATTCTTATTATATAGTAAATATATTTAGCAAAATCAAAGGTTTCTGCAAAGTAGGATATAGGTTATAACATATATCCCAATTAAACCAGGAATGTGCTTCTGGTAGAACACTTTGTGGTGAAATGCAAAATAAGCAAAAAAATTTGGAAAGAGATATTTATATTGTAACTAGATCAACTAAATTAATTAATAAATAATAATAATAAAAATGTGCCACCTGCATTATAGTTTATAGCCCAAAAAAAAAATATATATATTTTTGCCTTCCAATCATCTTGAGAACTGATCGAAAACAACTCTGAATGAGATCACTATTATCTCGCTCGAAAATGCAATCAAAGATATGGTAGAAGCAACAATCACATCCTTATTGCCAGAGGAAAAGAATAATACTAAAGAGGAGGAAATATTGACAGACAAGGAGTCCGACTCTTCTGATTTTGTTTATATACAATCACCAGTTCCGAATGCCTTGGAACCTCAGGATCAAAATGCTCCAAGAGATGAACTTACATTAAATAATCTCGTTCAAGCCTTTAAAGATCAAGCAAAAGTCAACGAATCTCATGATACCCGATCAGAAGGGGTTGATGAAGATGGTTTTACACCAGTGATAAATAAGAAAAACAAAAAAAGAGCAATAATAACAAAACCAGACAGAGCTATCTTAAGACTTCTCCTTACAAAAGACCAAAGGGAGGACACACCTCCCCACTTAACTAAAACATCACTCTTTTTTCATGACAGTAAACAAAAAAGTTTACATAGCAACCCTTAATGTAAAGAGACTTAACAATCAAGAAAAACAATGAAAAACTTTAACTTTACTTAAATCTTATAAACTAGACATAATCCTCTTACAAGAAACAAACTTGAAAAACCAAAGTACAAAAGACTTTCTTAAAAAACAATGGCCTTTTGATTTGGTTTGGGCTAACAAAACTGCTATATTAGCAAGCAAAAAAGAAATTAAGTTACAGGATCCCCAGAGGAAGGATCATATCTACAAGAATCACTTACAAGGACCACATGTTCAATGTCACTAACGTATATGCCCCTCCAAACAACAAAGACAAAAGTGAATTCTTTGAGAGATGGAGTCCATCCTGGGATGAAGAATCGATAAATATACTTGGTGAAGACTTTAATGTTAATATAGATCCCAAGACAAACCGTGTCAGTCAAGCTATGGCACAATCAGATTCAACACGCTTACAACTCAAAAATCTTACAAATAAATTCATTGACTCAGCAACTCTTGAAGAGAGTGACCCCTTCTTGACATTTTTTTAAAATACACGAAACAATCAAACTATGGCAACTAGACTGGATTATATTTTCATCAATAAAAACTTTGTTTCACTAGTGGAAAAAACAGAAACCTTATTTGGCAATTCAGACCATCTATTAGTTAAATGTACCTTAAATCTGAACGATAAACTTAAAACTCCAACATTTTGGAGATTCAAGAAACAGTGTTTCAAGAATAAACTTATAGAAAAAGAGGTTATAGCAAAAATTAATTCATTTAATTCTGTAACAGATTGGAACTAGCACAAAATTTGCATTCAATCGATCATAAGGGCCTTCAGAAAACCCAGGGCCCCAGAGAGTAGCTTGGCCCTATTAAATAGAAAAATAACCAAATCAAAGAAGAAACTAGCGAAAGACCCTAGTCAGCTGCATTTACATACAATAGTCAATAAATTAAATCTTCAAATTCAGAATGAACTGCTACAATTAGCAGATAGATGGCAGACACGTTCTAAAGCAAGTTGGGTGGAGCAGGGAGAAAAGTCAATAAGATACTTCTTCTCAAGATTCAGATCCCATACAAACTCTTCTGCACTCAGGGACATCAAGGATCACGAGAACCCACCTCAGCTCAACAACAACCGAATCCTACAGTATATTAAAGAGCAATATGCAAAGCTTTACAAAGAAGAAAAGATTGACCTAGATGCGGCAACAACCTTGACATATGGTCTTCCTACTATCTCTTCCTCTGAGAATGAGGAGCTCTTTCGGAAGATCACGAAAGAAGAAATAATTGAGACTATTAGAAAACTTCCAAACAATAAATCTCCAGGGCTAGATGGTCTTACATATGAGTTTTACACCCAGTCTTAGAAACAATTTATAATCAGGTTCTCCAATCAGGATCTTTGCCTAACTTATGGCATAAAAACTTAATTACTCTTATTCTAAAGAAAACAATAACATAGATAACTGGAGACTAGTGTTCCAAATTGTTAAAATTTTACTAACCGGTTACATATAGCACGTGATATTTTCAGATATTAGCCAATCAAATCCAAGAAATCATTCCGAATTATTTCAAATAAGCGGAATATCTCGGAATTATATTAATTGAATGATTAGTTGGTTAGTTGATTAAAAAATTTTCTAACTGGTTAGTTGGAAAGTTGTCAACTATTCAGTTTTCCAACTAACAATTTGGAACACTACTGGATACCTATCTCTTTGGTAAATTGCGATGCTAAAATCTTTATGAAGATTATAGCTACTAGATTAAATAAAATCTGTAACTTGGTAATTCTGGCACACCAACAGGGGTTTGTCTCAAAGAGATCAATTACAGATGCAGCACTAGATGCGATTACAGTAATAAGAAATCAATCCGATCTTACTAAGCAACATTGGCTGCTTTTAGTAGATCAGCAAAAAGCTTTTGACCATGTGGATCATACCTTCCTGCTTTAATCTGAAATTTAGAAATCTGGTGGGGAACCTGTTCGCCAATCAAGAAGCACATATATTTGAATTAGGCATGCTATCAGAGCAGTTTAGAGTTGGAAGAGGAGTTAGACAAGGGGACCTCCTCTCACCATTACTATACATCCTGGCCTTCCAGGCTATTAATAAGGATGTTCAAGGTATACCCTCTCACAATCAGACATTCAAATCTATAGCCTATGCAGATGATCTTACAATAGGAGTTGGGAGCTCATCAGACTGGCTAGAGATACATAAACTGTTTGACCTATACGAGAGAGCCTCAAGTGCAAGAATTAACAACCAGAAAACACAAATTGTTCCACAAATGATAATGGCGAGAAGAGCAAACCTCCCGGACGTAATTGATTTTAAGGTTATAGGAGAATCTGATATCTTTAAATTACTTGAATATGAAATAGATGCAAATAGGCAGCCAAAGAAGGACTTATAGCCATCCACGATTACCAAACTCAAAGACATGCTCTCCAAACTCACGGCAAGAAATTTTTCTTTCAAAGAAAGGATTTTAATCGCAAAATCACTAATACTTTCTTGCATCTAGTACACAGCCTATATTCTCTCTCTAAGCAAAAAACAAGTATCAGAAATAAATAACCTAATAGCTCTATGGACCAAGGGTAACTCCAAGATGCTCCCAAGATACTCAACCTATTAGCTTCCCTCCAATAGTAGGAAATATGCTCGAGGCTAGAATGCTTACAACTTGGATAAAGCTTATATCAGGAGATACCATGTGGGCCAAGATAGAAAGATCAAGGATCACAAAATCTTTACAGGATAAAAGAGACATCACAATTTTGCAAGCCTTTACAGAAAATTCTATAAGAATCAAAGCCTAGCCATCAGAATGGAAACCTTTCATACATGCATGGAGGGTGCAGTTTCTTCTCTTACCCCGTGGCCTTGGTCTACAGAGAATATATATTTGAAAGGGAAAAAAAGTTGTGATCTTTGGACTAAAGACTTAATAAATCTTCTGAGAAGTTTAGCTGAGATAATCTCTCCAACTTATATGCTTAGAGAAAATACGCCAACTAATTCCAACAGATATCTTCTTCAGAATTAGGTACTTGCCCATGGTGTGAAGACAGTACTCAGACTCCAGAACATTTTGCGGTAGAATGTAAAGTTAGTAAATCTATCTGGACAGAAGCCTACAAATTCTTGAAGATTCAAGACAACTTAGTGATACTGAACACTATTGAGGACATCTACACAAAAACACAACAGCAATTTATGAGATTTGGTGTTGGTATACCAACACCAAATGGAGTGATGATACCAGGCTGATAATGTCAATTCCAGCAATTATAAGTAGTAGGATCACAAGAGAAATTAAGGCATTGAGTCTTAACTCCTCTAGTAATCAAATAAATAGAAAAATTTGTAAATACTTAATTTGTAAATAGAAAGTTATTTATTAATCAATTATAATAAAAAGATGCCACCAGCGTTCCAGCTGCCTTAGACAGTTTGGAAAAATTTAAAAAATATATATATATTTTTAAATTAAAAAATAGGTTTTTTTTAAAAGCATGACTTACTTGTATATTACTCAAATTATATGTGTTGTAAGATTGTAACATTTGTTTAAATACAGGTCGCTTATCACTAAAATTCATGTGCAAGCTCGACAGCTATGCAAAAAAGAATTTGCAGTTAAATTTCGTGAAATAACAACATTGGCATTCCTTGATGATAAACACAGATGCAAGATTAAAGAGCCTGGACACCCTGTAGCTGCAATAGAAAGAGGAAAGCGTGTAATAGTTAGAAAATACATGACATTTGCTGTAAGTGACCATGACTATATAAAAACTAGAACGATACCTAGTGTAACAATGCTGTGCAAAATTTCTGAAATATTAAATGAAAACTTTTATGCGGGAAAAGTTTATATAGGTTTAAAAGATCCAATATTTCAGACTTCTTCTCCTCTGCACCATATAACAGAACTTCATAATATTCTTTTAACTCAAGAAATTCTCAATCTCGTGTTGTGTCTTTATACTGATGGTGGCCCTGACCACTGGTATACATATCTACAAGTTCAATTATCTTACATTTGCTTATTTTTAGCATTTGACCTTGATTATCTTGTAGCAGTAAGGACACCACCTTCACACTCCTGGAAACCCTATAAAACATGTTATGTCTTGAACTGCAATGTATTGGATTGATGTGTACTAAAATGGATTATAAGTATGAAAAACTTGTTAGTAAAGCAAACACCATGAAAGATATTCGAGAAATAGCAGAGTCAAATCCAACATTGAAAGATAAACTTATCAAAAGCATTCAGAATCCAATTAATCTTGTTCGCGAGGTATTTGAATGACAATTCTTAAAAGAAGAACTATTCAGAACATTTGATGCTGCAGCAGATAAGGATATTAAAAGATTCTGGGAAAATATTAGTTTAGCCAATAGTTCTGTAACACAAAACGATTATGAAATGAGATATATAAAAAATAAAGTAAGTAATATTAATATATAGTTAAATAAAATATAACAAAAAGAAAAAGAAAAAAAAATTAACTATTCATTTTTTAAGCCACGTCTGAAGGAATTTTATGATCATTGCTGTATGGCAAAACACTACTTCTTTATCATGAAAAATAGAATCAACAGAAGAGTATAGACCATCACAACACTTTGGACAAAGTATAATCAAAAAAACAACCAAAAGAAAGGAAAATTATGTTATACAATGCCCTTTTGTTCTTTTGCAGTGCGCGCTAAAAATATTGGACTTACTATTACTTGTATGGAATGTGATAAACCACAGCTCTTATTTAGCACAAACAAGTTATCAGATCAAAATCATCATATACTTGAGCAATTTTTAGATACTATTTTATATATATGCGGAACTACATTTAATGACACTTGTGAATTATCATTTACTTCAGCTGCAGCACTATCTGAACAACATCATGAAATAGATAAGCCTCTTGATGAATATGATTACAATAATGAAGCAGAGTTAGTTGCCTGTTCTAGCTATTTACTTCTGGATCAATATGTCAATGATATTGAGAATGTCAACGATATTGAAGGTGTCAACAATATTGAGAATGTCAATGATATTGAAAGTGTCAACAATATTGAAGGTGTCAACGATATTGAAGGTGATGATATTGAAGATGATGAAAGTGGTGATAGTGAACTAGATGATCAAAGTGATCAAGAAGAAGACAATGAATTAGATGATGCTTACTCTAATGATTAATGAAGAAAAAGAAAAAGATATGGTCAATAATTCTATTCAAGTAATATTTAGGCTTCACTAATAGAGAAACTATACTACTTAGCAAAAATCTATCCCACCATTTGCTATTTGTGTGGTAGTCCAAATATTAAAAAGCCTATATCAGAAAGTATGTCTCCATCATGTCAAAACTGTGCTGATATGAATAATTCAATTAAACATAGTAATCAGAAATCATCCAAAAAATCTAAAGCTAAAAAATGTTAAAAGATCAAAATTTTATTAACATTGGTAACTCCGGCTATTATGGCTACTCATTTTCAAACAAAAAAAAAAAACTCTATTGAATTCTTAAATACTATATATGAATTATATATAAAGTTTCTAAAAAACAAAATTAGAAATATATATATCCTTAAAATAAAATAAAATAAACTTCCATAAATAAATTACTCAAATTATAGATTTTTAAGTATGTAGAATTTTATACAAACTGCCTTACAGTATATGTAAAAGATGCACAGATTATATTTTCATGTATTATCAAATATTAGGTAGAACTACCATATCATTAAAGTCTTGAAAGCCATGTTCGAATTGAATTGTTACCTTGGCATAGATATGTGATTTTGTACCTGATCTGATATAATATAACACCTCCACAATGGTTAGTTACTTTTCTGATAGCCATAAAATCCAAGTGATATAGATATTATGCGAATACTGTAATATGGTTCTTGCTAAGCAGTTTTATCCATAAATTTTCGTGCAAACTAGATACACAAAAAAGTTAGAGAAACATTTGAATGAAAATTTAATAATATTGATATTATCATGAATTTTGAAAAATAGCAGTAAAGAAAATATAAAAACAGGCTACATCAAAAAAGTAATCATGTATAGGCTTTTAAATATATATAAGTTATATAATTTCTTATGTATGAAATTTTGTTTTTTTTTTAAATTGAGATTTTATGATCCAGCAGGTATTTTTTTATTATAAAATTTTATAAATTTAAAATTTTACAATTGAAATTTTACTGTATAACCCGGCAGATATTCTTTTATTGTAAAATTTTATAAAATTTAAATTTTATAAATTAAAGTTTTATAGCCCAGCTGGGTTATGTGGCCTGGCTGGGTTATGAAAACCAATATATAAATTTTGTTTGGCCTTAGTTAGAGGGCTTCCAGAAATTACATGATTTTGGGGTGAGTGGGTGGGGTCCCCAACATATCAGGTTATAATTCTGGTCAAAATTTTATAATTCTAACCAAAATTATAAAATTATATAATAATAAAACCTATCTAACTTTACAGCACAAAAGCTTTAGTTAGTATAGCTTCAGGTCATATTAAAAAAGATAAAGTACAGAAAGATACACTAGTGTACCAAGTTTGAAAGAAAACGAACAACAAGAAAGCACTTTAGCTTTAAGTTTTGAAAATTTGGAGAATTGCTCTATATCCTGTAATGTAGATCACTACACGTGACAGTAAACAAAGTATATGTAAATGGGTAAACGAATAAACAAACAAGTATATCACCATTTGTGGATAGATGCAGGCGATACAAGACAGCATAAGAAAACAACTTAGTCATGTAAACTAGTCGTCAGCATACATGTGACAAACAAGAATTAATCAACACTCTCTGAAGTAGAATAGGAGCAAAAAATAGAATTATACAAAAACCTTTTTGCAAAGTCTTCAGAGGAATTTAATGTAGTTAAGGATAAACATAAAAACAAATCTTAAGAAAGACAGAGAGGTAGCTAAAATGGCAGAAACAGAACCACAGCTAATATGTCTCTTTAGAAATATGATTGAGCTTTATGACCAGTTAGAGTTCCTTAGAGTTAAAAATGCTGACAGAAACCAAACAGTAAAGCCTAAAGAGATACTTAGAATAAAAGAAGTTTTAAATGATCAAGAATGTGGCTGTGTAGATTATGAAGTCTTAGAGAAATTAAGTATAAATAAATACAAGCCATCATATGAACAGATTGAGCTAGCTTAACCCCACAAGAAGCATTAGCAAAAGAAAAGCCGGCAGTAAATGAAGAGCCTCTAAATGAAGACAAAGAACTCCTCATGCCCAAGAACAAAACAACAAATATTATTCAAGAGAATGAGCATTCATTATTTAAGAGAAGAGGCAGGATATATGCAAAAGACAGCAGAAACACGAAAAAAGGTGTTTCTACAAGAATGTTTTACACTATGGGACATTCCTCTTGATGTAAAAGCAATAAGAATATAAAGATGCAAAGAAAAAAAAAGCAGTATTCTTTATGTTAATGTTTCGAAATGAAAGAAGAAAAGCTCTATTAGAAAAAGCATGGGTGGTACACTTCGAGAAAGGAAAATGTTAAGAATATTGAAGGGTGATTTTGCAAGAGATATTATTGAGGATAGAGCAGAATATAAGGCTATAGTCAGGAATATCCCAAAGACAGCACTAGAAACAATGCTATTGAAACAGCTGAAAGTACAGACGATATATATCCCACAATAGCAACAAAAATCAAAGAGGTACAGCATCAGTATTCTTTGAATCAGAGGAGGATTTGTGTGCAGCCCTGGGTAAAAGGGTGTATTACTACAATACAAAATTGGAATGGGTAAAGAGCAAAGAGTTTGAAAAGAAGGATAGTAATACACACAAGAATGATCCAGCAAACATAGAAGAAAAACCATCACAAAGGGTTATTAGAGCAGAAGAACCTTTAGATATCCTGGAGAAAAAGAAAGTAGACAACTTCAACAAAAAAATAATCTCAAGGGTAAGCAACCAGAGATGATCGGTCAAGATGAAGAGGAAAAGCCTATAGAAATTAAAGACATGCTGGAAAAAATACTAGGCAGATTAGAAAAGATCAAGGCTTAACAAGAAATGAAAAACAGATTTAGGAGAAGGAGCCCGTTCCCTAGATGCTCCTAAAAGTTGCCACAGCTACAACAAGAGAAAAAAGTGGCAAGACCACCAAGTATGGAAAAGGGGATGATAGAGAGAATAGTAGGGTGGTAACTATAGGGGTTTACAATATAAACGGGTTAAAACAAACAAATGCAAGATAGATATGTAGTAGGTTTGCAAGAGAGAAAAGAATAGACATTTTGGGCTCATATGAAACGAATATACAAGATAGGGTGGGTATTTGGCAGATTAACAAGGAGAACAAATATTTTGGCTTCTGGGTGTCAGCAGCAGAGGAAAAGAAAAAGGGTTCAGAGGTGGCACTTCTGGTATATAAAAGTATTGAAAAATATCTAGCTAGGGTTTTGAAGTAGTTACCATATTTATTAGAAGCATCATTTATTTTTAAAGAAGTGTGGGTTCTGTTAATGATTTATATGCCACCAAATGATAGTGAAATCGAAAAAGAAATCTGCTAAAAGGTGATAAAACAAACAGAACAAAAGTACAAAAATAAGGAGACAAAATGTATAGTGATGGGAGATTTCAACATAGAGTTAGGAAAAATAAATCACAACGTAGGGAGAAGAGCTATAGCTATAAATAGAAAACTCTTATTTGGAAACTCATAGATAGAGACTTCAAAAGCGCCTTTGAGAGAGTAAAAGATGGGGAAAAAATAACTACAAGAAGAGGCACAGAAAAAAACACAACAATTAATTATATGTGGGTCTCCAATAATTGGTTTGAAGACTTAAGAAAGTGCAAAGTACATGAGATGGACCTGGTAACAGAGAATGATCATCACATAATTACAATATGGCTAGAATGAGAGGATCATAGATGCATACAAAAGAAAGCTCAAAAAAAAAAAAGCCAAAACCAAAAAGATATGTATAGAACTCCAACGAATTGAACCAGGTGATTGGAAAAATTTTGCACAAAGAACAGATGCATTGGATAACGAGCCAAGAATTAAAATAGGTGGAAAGTTTAGGAAAATTGGCTTGCATCTTAAGAGGAGAGGAAAGTCAAGAGGCTCTAGACAGGGAGTGGGACATTATCGAAACTGTGATAAGAAAAGAAGCCAACAAAACACTTCCAAAGGCAAGACTCACAGCCGAAAAAAACTAAAAGTAGATCAGAACCCCTCTCACAAGCTCAGAGAAATTGCTAACGAAGTTAATAAGCTCTGCAGAAAAGCCAAAAAAAAATTGGGCAAGTAATAACAGATAAGTTAGCAAATGCTCTAGAAAATATAAACATAGTAATTGAGCCAGAATTGGAGGAAGCCCCAGTCACGTGGAGTCACACATAGTCACGTGACACATACAAACAACTAGAGCAAGTTGCAAAGACCGCAAAAAAGTATGGAGCAAAATGAAATTAGTGGAAGAAGAGCATAGTATTAAAAAGAAAATAGAAGATATAAGAATATCGCTTCAAATCAAAAAAGTATGTTAAATAGCATACTCAAAAAGCCATACCAAAGAATCAAACTAAATAGGGTATTTGAGAAAACAGAAGATGATATCTAATTAGTTAATAGTGAAATAGAAATTATAGAAAAGGTAAAATCTTTCTTTGAGAAGCAATTTAGAAAGAGAAACATAGAAAGTTATTAAGTACATCCTGGGCAGAGCAATATAGTCCTATAGAGAGTATTAGTGTTCCAAATTGTTAGTTGGAAAACCGAATAGTTGACAAAACCGGTTAGAAAATTTTTTAATCAACTAACCAACTAATTATTCAATTAATATAATTCTAAGATATTCCGCTTATTTGGGATAATTTGGAATGATTTCTTGGATTTTATTGGCTAATATCTGAAAATATCACGTGATATACATAACTGGTTAGTTGCCAACTATAGTTGGCAACTAACCGGTTGGTAAAATTTTAACAATTTGGAACACTAGAGAGTATAGATGAGAAATGGTACAAAGAGGTGTCAAATAAAATAACATCAGAAGATTGGGATGAAGCTCTGCAAAAAACATGAAATAACTCCACCCCAGGCCTGTCAGGCATTACATACCCAATTCTCAAAAATATCAGTGCAAAACAAAAGAAGCGTGTACAAGGCTCTTTTCAAAGTGT